CCCACCTCTGCCCCGATCTACCCCCGCCCCCCGCTTACCCTCTGGCTCTGGCCCTGCTCCAGCTTGGGGCACAGAGCACATGTTCACCCTGGCCTCTGTCTGGTCACCTCAGCATGTTGGCAATGGTGTTATCTCTGGGTCTAGGGTCACAGCTGCTGCCACTGCAGCCATTGCTGCCTGGCTGAGTGGGGATTAGAATGACTATGTGCTCCATGCCCCAACCCAGCCTGGGGCCAGAGCCAGAGCAACAACATAGAAATAATAAAACTTACCCTTACCCACCTTTGTAAAACACTTTGAGATCTAGAGGTAAAAGGGCCTTTTGGATGGAATGCTAATTATTGTTATTATAGGGAAATTGTCATCACTAGAGAAAGACACATAATAAAAGAAAAACAAACATACCGCCCTGTGAACACAGGTACTACGTAGTCAATGCCTTTATTTTCTTTGTCTTCTAAGAGTGAACTCTGCTTGGCCCTCTTTGCTTTGGGACTCAATTTATAGGATTGATCTTCTGTCATTATATTAGAATCTTTTAGTCTGAAATGAAAACCATATTGTTAAACACACAAAGAGAATTAAGCAGCTTTTGGAAAAAAAACATTTAGAAAAAATAGGCATTTTGTAAGCAAGAAATTATGAAGTTTTAAGAGGTAAATTTTCAAAATGTATTTGAATTAACTGTTGCTTAAAGGTGAAAAATTGATGACCCTTGACATTAAATCAATCTAAGTACAGAGAACAGCTGATACAGTCAGCAGCAATGCATATTTTACTACTCTGAGCTCTGCAAAGTTTCCATACCCACCCTTGGCACTCCTACAGACACCGTCAGACAGGACAGAGGTTCCAGCTATCTCAGTTGTAACGAGGATTTTTGTGATGAGTACTTCATTCACTAAAAGCTGGACTTGGACTACCATCTCCCTTTCTTGCAGCCGCTGATTATTTGGCAATTGTAATGAATTTTGCTCCAATGGGTTGGATTTGAATCAGAGACTTTTGAGTAAATACTGTATATACTAAATTTTCTGAACACTGCTAAAAACAAGGTATGAAATCGTAAGATTCCCCCAGTTAGGAAAATTTTGAATATCTTTAGATTGAAAGCACTTTTAAATTTGTCTAAGCAAATTATATACCAATATGTTAGTCAGTTTGATACAACCCTTTGCTACTGCCAAGCCATTTAATAAACTAAAATCTGTGGTTCACCACCAACATTTGCAAGTTTCCAAAGACACCCAGATAACACATAAGGCATGGATAGAAGTAGTTTGATTTCAGAATGCTTTCTAGTTTCTACTTCCTTCGAAAAACACAGGGCCTTCTTACTGATATTTTCCAATACTAGGTGATTAGGGTTGCCAACTCTGACTGAAGCTATTCTGGAATATTTTTTTCCCCAACATGACCTAATGTCATTAATTGTACTGTTCAACCCGTTCACAATAGTCACCGGGATCGATGCTGATTCTGGTAGACTCCCGGCCAATCCAGGAGGGCTAGCAACCCTATAGGTGATACAACAGCCATCATGCACCTCATCAGTAGTCATTTGTTCCTCATAATCAGAATATACTTAAAGAGTCTAAGGTCTAAATAATCATCAACCTTATCTAATTGTAAAGGCTGATCTATTCCTTTATAATCCAAACATGCCAAAGGCCATCCTCAGATATCACTTTTCTAGACTGCCCATCACTAAGATCCATGTTAACACCTTGGAAGAACTTGACCGGAGTAATAATTCATGCTTGGAGTACAGATATTTACTATCTGTACCTTTGGATAAAACACAGCATGATCTCATTATCCAGTTCTTCCTGTATAATAATCCAATCCTTCTCCATATTGGCAATATGTCCCAACTGTGTCATCCACAATTACAGAAGGACAATTCTAGTCTCATACCAAGGTCACGAACAAAAGCGTTAAACAGCATAGGTATGAACACGGATCCCTGAGGAATATGGGGAACAGAAATATGATAAGAAATCTCTCTTCAACCAAACTGGCAAAGTAAAACAAAACTGAGTAGCAAGAAATTGAAATTACTCAAGGTATAGATATTTAATGATAAAGGCAATTAACCATGAGTACAGCTTATCAAGGGTTATGGTGGATTCCCTACCACTGAAATTCTTAAATGAAGATTGTATGTTTTTCTAAAATATATGTTCCAGTTAAGGCTATCTTATCAAAACACTGTCACTCATCATGGTGTCCTGTGACCAGTGGGGTCCCCCAAGGCTCTGTCCTTGGACCCATTTTGTTCAACATCTTCATTAATGCTGTGGTCATTGGAGTCAGGAGCGGACTGGCCAAGTTCACTGATGACACCAAACTTTGGGGCAAAGCATCCATGCCAGAAGACAGGTGGGTGATCCAGGCTGACCTGGACAGGCTCAGCAAATGGGCGGATGAGAACCTGATGGTGTTTAACACCGAAAAATGCAAGGCTCTCCACCTTGGGAAGAAAAACCTGCAGCATCCTTATAGGCTCGGCAGTGCTACACTGGCTAGCACTATGGAAGAAAGAGACTTCATGGACCACAAGATGAACATGAGCCTTCAATGAGATGCTG